GAGCACTACAGGGCTGAGAGGGGCACAGAGTCAAGTACTAAACAAAGGAATCCATCATACAAATAGATAGCTTGATACATTCATTATAAAATGTAGTTTTGTTTGTTTACTGCAAGTTTCAAATCCTTTGATAGGACTTATTCTGCCTTTGCTGTAGGAGCAGTGGAAAAGTCTCCTAAAGAACTGGCCCTAAGTGAACAAGACATCGTGTTATTTAAAGCCATGCTGGCCAGGCAGGGTGGCCAGTAGAGGGATTTGACAGAACATCAAATCTGGGGTTTACCATAGGTTGGACTAACTTCTCTGCTGGGATAAATGGGTGCAGCTCTATTGACTTCAGTAGAATTTCATCCGTTTACATCAGCACAGAATTTGGCCCCATGTCTCTGATCCCAAAAAGGGCTGGAGGGAAAGTTGCAGAGCCAGAAGCTTTTCCCACTCAGGGCAGTGCAGGGATGTCTGGGATGCTCCCCGCACGGAACCTTCCAGAGGTAAAACAGGAGGTACAGTGATCTTGTTAATTGTGGCCTAGCACTCGCAGACACACACCCCCCCTTGCCCCTATGTCCGGGGGAGTTCATTCTTAAAGCCATTTTCCATTTTCTTCAAGAGCCTCCAGATGAGCCCTCGTGTTGAGCTAGAATGATGCCTAGAGCAAGCCAGCCTGGAGTGCAGCAGGTAGCCGTAGGTTCTGACAGCTGTAGGGGAGTCTAGCCAGGGAGCCGCTCCACGAGGAGAGGATGGAGCCAGCACACTTACGCCTCTCGCCGTGAGTATTCAGGTTCACACTTGTATAAGTCGGTGCAACTCAGCTGAAGCAAAGGGAAATTGCTTACATGAGGGTTGAATTTGGCCCATTAACTTTTAATGAGTCAGAGTGGATGATCCTTGCAAAGCACACGGAGTCTAATCTTTCCACTTACAGCAGCATGGCATTAGTGCAACTCCCCTGACTTTAGCCGAGTTACACTACAAACTTGTGCTGGTGTAACTGTGGAAAATCCACTCCCTTACACCGCCTCACCCCCGGTGCAGCCAGCACTGTGTTGGCAGGAGGGCTACTCCCATGCACACAGCTACTGCCTCTCGGGGAGGGGGAGGACCTACGCCGAGGGGAGAGGCGCTCTCGGTGGCGTAGGTAGTGTCTCCACTAAGCTCTACAGAGCCGCAGCTGCACCGGTACAGCCCCGTAAGTACAGACCACCCCTAAGTCTGGATTTCGCCAGCATGAATGAGAGAGTTCCTCAGAGGAGGGGAAAATCACTGAGGACCCAGTCTGAGCAGCCTAGCCATAGGCATGCACTAGAAATCTGGCAGTGTATAATGACTTTATTCCCTGGAGTGACTGTACTTGTCATTTCAACGGCGAGTGGTGCCAGCAATTTTTCGTATGAGTGAGATGGCAGTGACTTTGGACTGGCTCAGCATCATGACTTGGAAACTCAATTTTCAAATGTGTCTGGATCCTGTGGAGACTTTGCCGTAGAGGAGATAGAGACCACTGGTAGGGCATTGAAACTGTCAAAGATAAAGAATGTTACACAAAGCTTGAGTGCAATGCAGGACCCTCCTGCTGAAGAGGGGGAGAAATCTAGGAGCAAAACCAGATACCTCCCTTAAGCAGCAGAGAACTGAAATGATGATCATCCTAGCCAGGGACTTGGGGCAGTCAGAACAGCAAAAGAGCTTTCTCTGTCCTCATTTTTAAGGGATTTTAAAACATGGTGAAAAAATAAGCCAGCAGGTTGATGTGGGATGTACTTGGCCAAGGACTTTGCAGTGGATCCTTTTGGTGATAAAGCTAGGATTGTTATAAAGCAACAAAACATCCAAAGTGACATTTGGAAGGAAAACTGAGGAAGCCTAATTGTCCATGCACCCTCATTACAGCTTTCTTTCGGGTCTCTCCATTCTCATCACTAGAGCAGTGCCCCGTGTTACTCACTCCCCAACCCTTGTGTATGTTTTATTTGTTAAATAAGCTCTAGGTCCTACAGAAATCAAAGGCAGCTACAGAGAAAATCCAAGTGGAAAATCTGGTGGAAAACCAGGAGCCCCCGAGAGGTTTAGGGATAAAATTGTCATACTCCCTAGAACATCCAGGGGCCTTGGGGAGATTCTATTCTGGTGCCTCACTCCTTCCTTAGGAAATCTGCACTCTCCTCCTTTCCTTCACTCCTGTTGGGCCACATGGCCCAGCCCCAGTGTCATTGCAAAGAGACATTTGTTTCTGCAGGGTGCCCATTTGGAGCTTGAGTATCTGGTAGGGGAGGAATGTCTTGCAAAGAGCAAGCTGCCTAGGAGGCCAGGAAAGGGGTGTAGTGCAGAAAATGCAGAGTGCCTGCCTTGCAAGGAGACCACAGCCACAGCGGCGTTCATGGTGACATAAGCAATACAAAAAGCAAACAGTGGTTAAAACCTGTTTTTCCTCCTGTGGCCATTGATCTGCTGGCTTTGTGCCAAGTGGTCTGTGGTCAATTCATTTCAAAGAAAGCACGAAAGCTGCCGTTTAACAGCAAACGCTTAAAGCCAGGTTCATGCACAGGCTCTCAGACTGAGCCACCAGGAAGCGGGGTTAATACATTCAGTGATGTCGGTGTTGCACTGTGGTTTGTGTGTGTGTTTGCAGGCGGAGGATCCTGTTTTCCCACTCCTGACAGCCCTGCCTAGCCAAGACGAGAGCAGGTGGAGTCCTGATTTAAGAAATACTTGGATTTGATTTCTCTGGGCACAACCACCAGCCTAATGGGAAATTTAATTATAAACCCCCGAACGGAAAGTGTAGGGCTTGGGGGTGGTAGAAAGAGGAGAGACCTGGGTCATTGTCTCACCAGCACTGGCACTGATAGACAGGCCTGTGTTCAGGTGTGACCTGAGACAAGTAAACATGGGAAGCATGTGACCGAGTGTCACTGACACCTGACAGCTGCTGCGGGGGTCTCAGTCCATAACAAAAGCAAACGATTGGCTGGTTGGCAGTCTCCGCAGAGAGGCCAAAGATGGAGCGAGCCATGGAGACTGCTGTCCCGCAGTCAGTCCCTCCAAGCAGTGGAGACACACGGGCCCAAGAGACTGGAGGAACCTTTCACTTGCACTGCCAGTTCTGTAGACAGAGGACCTGAGTCTCCCTGGCTGTTGGTTACTCACACAAGGTTGTGTATAAAAATTCCCTCTGATACTCACAACTTCTCTTTGTTCTCCTGCCCCAGAACCATAGCAATCCATAATGCTTTTGGAAATGTCTGAGCAGTGGTTATCTGTGCTTAAACTCCCAACACAGTAAAACATGCAAAAACCCAAAAGGTAACAGTTAATTAAAAATCCGTTTGTCTTGCCTGCAACCCAGGAATGCTTCCCCCTGCTCTTCTCACTCATTACTCAAGATGTCTGTGTTTAAATGAAAACTTTGTCCCTAACCATCTGTATCCTGTTGGTCTGTCTCAAATCGGTGGGGCACTGAGTGATATCAGCCGTTTCCATGCCAGCATATAGGAGCCATCCGCAGGAATATGTGACTTTATAGCAGGGAGAGGGAGCTGCAAAGGGGAAAAGCTCTGGCTTTGATCCTTGGGGATAAGTACAGGAAATGGCTGTGGTGCTGTCCCCATTTCCCGTGTTACCAAACCTACCTGTGTGTGAAACAGCGGAGACACTGGTGTGGCTGCCGTGGGGAAGGGGTAGCTGGCACTGGGGGTGGATTCCGCTCTGCACGTGAGGCGTGTTCACACCGGCAGCTGACACAGAATCCATGCCCTCTCGGGCACAGGGATAAATATCTGCCAGGCAGCGTTCCCTCTAATTTTTTACAACCATGTGCGGAATTAATTTTGTTATGTACACCAAAATGGAAGTGATGTGTGGCGGGGTGGGGCCGAGGGGTTCAGAGTGTTGCAGGGGGCTCAGGGCTGGGGCAGATGATTGCGGTGTGGCCGGGTGAGGGCTCCAGCTGGAGTTTCAGGCTCTGGGGAGGGGCCGGGGATGAGCGGTTTGGGTGCAGACTGACCCGGGGCTATGGTGGGGAGAGAGGACTCCCCCAGCCCTCTCTTGCTGGGTCCAGAGGAGAGGCGCCTCTCACGCCTGGGCGCCTCTTGATAGCCGGTTGCACGTTCACGCAGCTTAGAGGGAACTTAGCTGCCAGGGACTCTCAGTGGTGTTTGGATGGCCTGGAACTGATTCCATGAAGAACGTGGTCCTGCCCAGCACAGGGTAGATTGTTGCACATTTAGGCGCAAGGTAAAAAGTGAGGAGCAGGCTGGGGAGTGTGGGGGAACCCAAACAAGAACGCTGCTGCATGGTCCCCAGCCCACTCCTGCCTCGCGTGCGAAGTGCCCAGCAAAGCACCTCGTCAGCATAAGGAGGAGCCCACTCATCCCATGTCGCCTCAGACCTGCCACCCATCCTCTTTCTTACCCGTCACTCTTGCAAGCAAGGGCTCGATCCTGCCAAGTGCTGAGCAGTCCTGTAAGGTGCCGAGTGCCCTCAGTTCTGACTGACTGAGGGGAGGGTGCTCAGCAGGTTGTAGGACCAACTCCTCAGGACACAGGCACTCAGAGGGCTGGGGGAGTCCTCTCTGCCTAGTGCTCACCCCTATGTGTGTAGGCCTCCTCGTACATCCAGAGCTCTCCACTCAGTGCTCAGATACCACAATGATGGACACATCAGGCAGCAGATAAGCTGGAGCACAACAGCCTGTTGCATCCTGCTGTGCAACCCAGAAGGACCTGAAGGATCAAGGTCATAAAGAGCCCTGCCTAAATACGTCAGTCAGAGCATCATCCAAAGGAATCCGTGCGATTCAGGCTCCGAGTCCCTCTAAATTCCAGCTTGGAGTAATCCAGATCATCCCCTTGTAAAGGGTGTTATTTCTGTTCAGAAAATACCAGTACAGACCAATCCAAACCATTGCCCCAGGCCTAACATACGAGATACTGCATCCCATATGCTCCCTGAGCTAGGTGAGGGAACTAACCTGCAGCTTGGTCTCCGCTTTTGTCTTGCAGATCAAGAATGCTGCAGCCAACGTCCTTCGGGAAACGTGGCTTATCTACAAACACACAAAGCTGCTCAAGAAGATTGATCATGCCAAAGTCAGGAAGCATCAGAGAAAGTTCCTTCAAGCCATTCACCAGTAAGTGGAATCCACTCCAAATGGCGACCAGAAGAACAGTGGGGTGGGAGGGAGAATGATCAGCCTGGTCCAGACCTCCATGTTCCAGCTCAGTTCATAGAGAAGAAAATCTGAGCCATTTTCCATTTCCTTGCCAGATGCCGTTATAAATTTGCTTGTATCTTGTTACCTGTTTGCTGTGTGTGGCTAATCCCAGCTGGGTTCCCAAAGCAGTTAATGCTGATGGAGGGACCAGCACACGGAAAAGGGACATGGCTGTATCAGCATTTTCTTCTTCCACAGGCTGCGCAGTGTGAAGATGGAGCAGAGGAAGCTGAGTGACCAGGCCAACACACTGGTTGACCTTTCCAAGGCAAGTCTCTGAAGTTCTCTCCGAGGCCCACAGGGCTGCAAGCCTTTCATCTACATTTACTGTATAATCAACTGGTCGGAGCTGGCTGAACGCAGTAGACAAAAGGTTAAACACTCGGCATCTGGAAATGGCAGTTGGGGACATTACTCAGATCCTGCAGCAAGGGATAGGGCCCCCGGTTGTAGCTATTGCTGCACTCGGAGATTGGGGCTGGATTCCTAGGATGCTGCTGTGCAGATTCTAACAGAGGCTGAAGTTGGATAGGTACAGTAGTATTGTGCCTCATCTCTGGAATGGGAACGGCTGGCATAGATGGGGTGTGCCAGTTCCATTTGCAACCCACACACAGCAAAGCAGGATCTGGGATCAATCTTTTAAGATCAGGCTTCTCAAAGGGGCTTTAGGCAGACAGGTGCCCAATTCCCACTGAAAATCCACAGCAGCTGGACTAGCTCAGGCCCTGTTGAAAATGACAGCCTGAAACATTAGCCAAAGATGCTCTTCGTCTGATGACAAAATTCTGGTAAATTCTTTCCCCCCACCGCCGGGCTCCTCATTTTAACATCCCAGAGACAGAATATCAGTGGAGCCACAGCAGCGTGGCAATGGGCATGTCTTCAAAGAACTGCCAGAGCTGAAGGCTCCCAGGCCTGGAACGCCCAGCTGCGCCATTGGCAGAGTTTGGAGGACATTATTTCTGGTTACTCTCATCTTGATCTCGGGTTAGATTTCGTGGCAGCAGGAAACCTAGTTGGAGAGCCAGACTAAGAGCTCAGTTTTCACATGTGGTGTCCTGCTGAAAAGATTATTTAATTTAGGGAGCAGCTTGGTGCTTCCTCTCCCAAAGGAATAGAAGCTGGGTTGCTGTCAATGCGATGGCTTGTCTTTACTGCGGAGATGGGCTAAGACAGCAGGTCCCCAATGGGGATTATCCTTATGATGCAAATATCAGTGTCCCAAACTAAACCACGAGCAATTCAGGAACTACCCACACAGCAGTGTATCCTCAAACCAGAGGAAGATCCAGCCCAACCCAGAAAGCAGGTCCCTGTTCTGTTTGTTGTTACTGTATTATGAGTGTGCCCAAAGGCCCCAATCAGGCTGAGGGCCCTCTTGTACTCAGTGTTGTACAAACACAGGTGACGACTTCATGGCCTCCAGGGCTCACAGTGCAGAAGATGAAGGGCTGGAGGTGGAGACAGAACACATGCAAATGACTGTGGGGATGATAGGCATAGCTGAGGCTGGGGATCATGGTTAATCATTTCAGCAGCATGCAGATGGATCGTAACACAGAACAAGCTGCAGAGCATTAGCCAGAGGCGAAGCTGCACAGGCTGCTCGCACTGCTAGTAAATAAATCTAAGTATCTGATACAATCAAGCCTAGGCTGAGTCCTGCCAGAAAAGAGTTAAATCAGACTGTTCCAGCTGCTGCCAGTGTGTGCACCTTGCAGCCAAGAGGTGAACTCTGATGTTCTGCTGATCAATGTCTTTCTTACCGGGATGCTCTGGACCAGCCAGAAGTCTCACATCTTTCGTCTCTGTCCAGGCTTCCCCTGGCATTCAGTCACCAGGCAACGAAATAGAAGGGCATAGCATCTCTCTGGTAAAAACCTGTTAAAGGAATAAACTCCTTACAGCAAAATCCTGTAACCGGCTTTTCTTTTAACGGGCCATTGATTCATTTTAAAGACTTCTCTCTTGATTTGGGAAATATGCTTGTGCCTCGCTACACAGGAAACATCTTCACTTATTGACTCAGCACTTTTGTTGCAATTTGCTCTGTTGCAATGGAAGTTCAGTCTCTGAACAGAGATTTCCCTCTTCCTGGTATCCATGTGAAAAGGCTTCACTGTTCACACAAGGCTCTATTTCTGTTACAAGTATTGTTTTAGCTAGGTGCAACTGTACCCTAGCTCCCTCTAATCAAACTTTCATCTCCCTGCTGTAATTTTCCCTCTTATATTCTTTCTTCTCCCCTTTTTGCCACCTGTATTTGTCTGTTCTCATCTCTTTGCTTTCACAGTCTCTATCAGTCCCCCGTCCACTCTATTTTATGAAAATCATCAGAATCACTTGGTGGGGGTGTGCAGAAATCAGTTCACTGAGGTTGCATGTGTGTGCACTCATCTCAGACCACATCAAGAGTCTCAAATCCCAGCAAAAAGGACCAAATGTGATGGAAGACTCTAATTTCCAAAATAGCTGGTATTTCCACATGCCAGATTCCAGAGAGGCAGTCTTGCCTATTAGTTAGAGTAGGGGCAAGTCCAACTTTGCTACTGACTCACCGTGTGACCCTGAACAAATCAGTTCACCTCTAGGCGCCTTAGACAACCCTTACTTTTGTGAAGTGCTTTGAGATCTTTCCATGGAAGGTGCTACCTGAGTGTGAAGCAGCATCGTTACTTAGATCTAGTCCTATATGCTCTGACTCTGATTCCAAGCGTTCCCAAAAGACAGCAGCCAGTTTTAATTTCTTAATTTTTGGCCATTAGCTGGTTAGTGGCTCCTCAACTGGGAGAACGTTCTGTCCGTCATCTTCCCAGGATTTGCCAACAAGATGTATTTTCAAGGTTTCTGCAGCCAACAGCTTGGCGGGACAGAGAGTAAACATCCAGCGTTTGCCACTTAGCTTTCACAGGGTGAAATGTTTTCTTCTTAGTCCCAGTACAGAACTCTCCGCCTCTGAGGCTTCATTCCAGGGTTAGCCAGCTTGTTGCTCTCCCCCGCCCATCAGAAATGCAACCAAAGAGGTTCTCGCCCAAATATTTCGGATCTCCAAGAGAGACAGGGCAGGTCTTTCATATACAACATCCTGCCGGCTGCTACTCCATTCTTGCAGGCCTTTGCCAACTGTGCCAGCTCAGCTGTAAACGGCCTTTACCTCCCACTTGTTCTGGTTGTCAGTGTCCTCTGCACTAATCCCACTGATGTCTTCTTTGTCCCCCAGATGCAGAACGTTATGTATGACCTGATCACAGAGCTCAATGACCGGAGTGAGGACTTGGAGAAGCAGATTGGCAGCCTAGAGTCCAAACTGGAGCAGCTCACCACTAGCTTCAACTCTCTTCCCCTGCTCATCGCAGAAACCCTGCGCCACCAGCAGCAACAGCTCCTCGCAGCTGTTATCGAGGCTCGTGGCATCAGTATGGCAGGGGGCACCCCGCAGACACCCCTGTCCGACAGTCCGATTGGGGTCAGCTCCACCTCCTTCCCAACCCCTTACACGAGTTCAAGCAGCTGCTAAATTGCAGACCGAGCCCCCAAGCCCTACGAAGACAAACAAGAAGAGCTACTTGTAGGTCTTCAGAGTCAAGTCAACTCTGGCCGCCACAGAAACACCCAGGCCAAGCCAATGCTGAAAGCATGACTGAATTAACGCCGAGGCTAGCTCAGAGCCCTCGGAGTTCAACAACGCCTTGGAACCAGAAATCCAATCTCTGTTTCGGTGCCTCTACGTTTGACGAGAAGGAAGCGGATGTGAGGGGAAGCCTCTGGCAAGGCCTTTGCTGCAGTGTTTGGTGGAGGACAGAAATCCACACTCAATCTCAGGTCTTCAACTAGGGAAAAAAAAAAAAAAAAAGTCCGAAGCACTGAAGCAATGGAGCTGTACCAGAGGGAGAGTACTCCACAGGGTGGGCTATGAGCCATGGGCAAAGGGGCTGCTTATCTGCAGGGCCTTCCTTCGTCCCCATTCCTCCCAGCCCTGTTTGTTAAGTGTCTTGCCAAGGAAGAGTCAGGGAGGAGGACAATTAATTTACCAAGACTGCTATCCCTTTGCCTCCTGCACCTCACACAGCCCCCCTGGGGAGCTGCCTTCTTGCACAGGCTCTGAGCTCAGAGGCCCACTTGCCACCCTACCCCCGGCCAAAACACTGCCACATACACACATTTCCAGTTAGGGGAGGGTGTTTCGTTCGCTCTATTCTGAGTCTCTTCAGAGTCCATATTCTGCCTGAAGCCATGTGCTGGAGCGCAGTGTTCAGGTGTTGTGCACAGCATCTGGGGCATGCCGGCTTTGTGCGGGTTTTTATTGCATTACATGGCGGTTACAGGGAGATGTATGATGAGGCCCGGATGAAACACACTGCAAGTCAATCCAATGCTGATGGTTTAAAAATGCACTGCCACTCATAGAATCATAGAATCTCAGGGTTGGAAGGGACCTCAGGAGGTCATCTAGTCCAACCCCCTGCTCAAAGCAGGACCAATCCCCAACTAAATCACCCCAGCCAGGGCTTTGTCAAGCCATGACTCCAATAGAGCCATGCGAGACATCCGAGTTCCAAGCATCCTGTGTCAGCAGGGCAGGGAGGGCTGCAGAACCAGTGCGCTCAGCCAATGGTCAGGAAGGGCTTTGTGGAATGGAACCAGATGGTTCCTCCTGGAGCTGCATCCAGTCCTGTTTGAGTGGCGCAAGGGTCACTGCACTGCAGGGCTTTCAAGGGGGCACCCTGGATTCCTCCTGAAAATCCCTCTGACAAGTAGAAAAAGTTGTGTGGTGGATCTTGAATTACCTGCATCACCCACAAACCAGGGCCACCAGTAATAGTCTCAGCAAATAATCCAGTACCTTTCCAATCCAGATACTCTTTGAAGAGGCTTCAGAACTGAAAGGTGAAACACCAAGGGCCAATCAGAGAGAGGGTCTTAAATTGTGACATTAATTTAAAAATTCTTCCCCTTGGCTGACAACGACATTCTACTAGCTCAAACACTGCTGTGACCTAACCATGAGGTTGCTTTAATGGGAGGTAGTAATGGGGAGAAACACAGAAGAAGGTTGATTAGGACACTTCATCAGTTTAAAACAGAAGACTAATTAATTGCAGTGATTCTGTTGAGTCTTGGTAGATAGCAGCAGAACCACCTGGGGGTAAATGATGCAATGCATGGCTTCGCAGGCAGCTAGACATATCCACACCACTGGGTGCTGCCCTTTGTGGCCAGCTGCTGGTGGAGCTGCCTTCCACAGCAACAGTCAGGAGTGGAGCTGGACGGGCAAGTTGCTGCCACTGACGGTGGGAGAGTCCATGAGAGAGAGATGGCTAATCCTTGCTAGTTGTCACCAGGGGCCTGGACACCGCCCAGCTTCCCCTTGGAACTAAAACGTTCCCTTCGCCCTCTGACATTTTCACTTCTTAAAACTCTTTGTTCAGCCCCAGCTCCTGCCTTTGTTGTTTTAATGCCTTGTATGGTCTTTATTCAGAGTTTTGCAGGCAGCCCAAGGCGCTGCTTGCTTTCTTAGAACTCCGGGGATGGTGTTGGCTGCTCTCAATGAACACTCAGCAGAGGATATTTATATATTTTTAAACGGATGAAGTAACCATGTAATTACTCTGTGATATTAATTACACATCACCCAGCGGTGTCTGCTAATTGTAGTGAAAGTCACTGTGTTACTCCAGGCATACTTAGCCTGGAAGCTTCTCCTCTGTAACTCTTTCACTTCCATAAAGAACACTGGATTCCATAGGTACCTAGGCAGGGGTCTATCATCAGCACAGGGGTTTACATGCAAAACTCTCCTTGCTGCTGCTGGTAGGTGTTGTGCACCTCAAGCCCTACAATGAAAGTTTCTTAGAAAACAATCACTAGCTGGAGAGAGGAATACGACTTCTTCCCACCTGCTCTACCCCCTGGAATGCTGGTGGCACAATGGTATTGCTCTGCTGCATATTGTGGCAGAAACACCAAGGGAGTTCTGCTAACAATGCCCTAGTACCACAGAGGTCTGACTAACCCCGTCGGTAGAGCAGGAGCAAAATACTGCAGAGGCAAGGCAGGATGTTACACAGCCCCATGCCAACAGGAACAAGGGCACCATGGACACCTTTCCATCAGCCCCACCCTCAGAGGGTTTCCTGCACCAATGCTGTGGTACTCCTCACCCAGAACATCTTTCACCATCTTGAGACATCGCAGACTCTTCCCTCCACACGGCAGCATTAGATAATCACCATCACCCCTCAAAGCCCATTGCAGTGTGGGGAACCAGGGCTCAGACACACCCATTTCCATAGCGGGAGAGATTTCCTGGTTTATAGCCACACCATGGTTTGGCCTCTCACCCTCCAAGTCGTAGCCATCAGATCTTTCTCCTACTTCAGGAATGCTTCCATTTCCACTGCCATCGTTTGGTCCTTGCTTCCCTCCGTCCCAGCCACAAATGCCCCAACTGCACGTGCAGCATTCGGAGAGGAGAGATGGCTACACTAAGATCACTGCCAGTGTCCCTCCAGTCTGACCAGAAGGAGGTATTCTATCTACAGTAGCCATCTGCTCCCCCTTTCAAATACCTTGTATGTGCAGAACTGCACAGGGCACAGTGTAGGCCAGTGGTTAGGTCACTCGACTGGGAGTCAGGAGCCCTGAGTTCTAGTCCTGGCTCTAGTCCTTGGGCAAGTCACTTCTCATCTCTCTGCCTCCATTTCCCCTCCTGTAAGAATGTGAGGACAATGCTTATCCATCTTTATAACGTGTTTTCAGGTCTAGAGCTGAGAAAGGCTTTAGAAATGCTAAGTAGTGTTATAAAATACACTTGTCTTCATCTCTGGTGGTTCACAGAGGACTAAACTACAGCAACTTACACTGAATCTGTGATATAAGGACTAGCAAGAGACAGAAAAATATACCCTTGAGTTTTAGATCACTAATGGGAGTATCCGTTGCAAAGGATTAGTATCACCAGCAGGAAACTTGTGCCTAATACTCAATTTTGGTAAATCCTATTGAATGAGATGAGACTAGAAAATGCCAAATCACTAACAGATTCAAAGCTTTAGTGAGGAATGAGGCACAAGCAGTGAAAGCTTCAATATCACGTGTGGTGGATGAGAATTTTTCTTCAGGCATAACTGTCTAGTACAGTGTAATTTCATTAGGATTGATTATTATCTTGACAGAAGTTTCTTGCTGGTTTATAAAGAGACACAGATACTCGACTGCCCTGCCAGCTGGTATCTCTGGTGTGGCAATAAGCAACGTACTGTGATTCACTTGGCTGGTCCAGTACTCGTCACCATTGCACTACCAGTCTCCACTGTTCCTCCACCCCACCAATTCTGCATTCCCTCACATTTCAGCACCCTAGACAGCAGTCTGGTTAATCCAATCCTCAGTGGCAACAGCATGTTTGACTCTACCTCTGATACCCGTTTTTACTCCTTTGTTTCCAGCTACCATTGTTAAGGTGAGTATGGAAGTGAAAGCAATGATGTTTGCAGTGGCATTTAAACGATTCTACAGAGCCATTGCTGTCAGGCAGCCTTTGCTAGTAGAAGGATAAGCCAGCCACTGATTATCTTAATGAGACAGGCACATCCTGTAATATAGTAGAACCTCAGAGTTACAAACTCACCAGTTAACCACACACCTCATTTGGAACCGGAAGTCTGCAATCAGGCAGCAGCAGAGCCAAAAAAAAAAAAAAAGCCAATACAGGACAGTGCTGTGTCTAAAGGTAAATTACTAAAAAAATAAAGGGAAAGCAGCATTTTTCTTCTGCATAGTAAAGTCTCAAAGCTGTATTAAGTCACTGTTCAGCTGTAAACTTCTGAAAGAACCACCAAACTATTTTGTTCAGCGTTACGAACAGTTCAGAGTTACGAGCAACCTCCCTTCCCGAGGTGTTCATAACTCTGAGGTTCTGCTGTATAGTATCCATTTCCCCAATGTCCTAGGCTTACCCTGAGTAACTAAGGGGAGTTTTCCTAGATTTACTAAGCCGCTTTAATAGGACTCCTTTTATAAACAAGTAACTGGCATCTCTCCTATACTGGAAACACCTAACCTGAACTGGAATTTCCCTACGAGTAGCCCATTGGCAAATCTTTAACAACCAGTCTCCATCTCCCAGTGGCAGGGGGTATCTCTGTTTACACACCTGAGAAAGGCATTCTGGAACGTGCAGTAATGGGCCAGGAGATGACACCCCCTCAAACTGAACCAGAACAAAGGAAGGGAAGAACCGAGACTAGCTGAGACTGAGGGAGGAAAAGCACAGGAGTAAAACTCAACCATAGTTATCAGCCCAAAGAGATGCTGACATTCTACCGCCAAAAAGCAGTGACAAACCACACGCAAATCAGACTGAACCAGCCAATGCCCACGTTTTACGGTAGAAGGAAGGGGAAAAATAAACATTCTCCGGCTCATTAATGCCAGAGAAATTCTCATCCTGAATCTCATACAGGACCCAGCCATCTTCAACAATCTCATTTCCTGGCACAACCTCAGTTTTGCTCCAAGAACCTCTATTCTGCACGGTCCATGAGGGAAAAACCACAAAGAAGCAGAATGCCAGAACCGATAGAACATCCTCTTTGCAACTCTTAAACCTGAAATGTTTATATTCAGACTTAGATGATAAGCATCCATATGGGTTTGCATCTTGCCTCTGTACCGCTTGCTTTTTTTTTTTAATAATAGGAGAAAGCATAATAGTTTATTTTAACTATGAAATATATTGCTATATTATAAAGGGTATTGTAACTTTCCATTACGTTTTTCTATCAAACTAGTTTGTTAGCAGGCAGAGGTGTCAGCCTGCTGTCAAAATGTCTGTTTCTGAGTACATGTCACTGCAGATTTTAGCTTAACACAGGGACTAAGGCAAATGGTCAGCAGATTAGAGCCTTTGCAATGCATTTGTAGAGACTCCACATAGTCCTAACCCTTTGAATTTGTGACAATTAATATGCACGATATAGGTGCTAGACAGAGAGAAGGGAAAGATTCAATGCAGGTCCTCAGCTGGTGCAAACCAGTGTAGCTTTACTGACCGCAAAGAAGCTCCCCCAGCTTCCACCAGCTAAAGTGGCTCTCATTCAAGTCCTAACATGCCCTGCCAGACCGTTTCTCTCCCTTGTTCTCTGTCTCCAGATGAATGCAGGAGCCTGGTGCCTAGGCCACAAACTGCATGAATCCAAAATCCAAGCTCTGCAAACTCAAGTTTTCCCAGTGGGGCGTAGTAGCTTGTGGAATGAGCAGTTAAATGCTCCTCTCCCGAGCCCTGGGTTTCAGTGGAGTCTGTGCTGTTCAGTCGGGATAACAAGGCTTGACGGCCTCAGCTCAGTGCCCACTGACAGAGGCCAAAAGCCCAGGATGCAGACGCACTGCTCTGACCTGGGAATAGCTTGCGCCCAGACAAGGATGGGGGTCCGAATGTCCTCCTAGAATAGAGCACGTCTGCAGGGCAGCTGGAGGGAGCACACGGAAGCTCCATGTGTCGCTCCTGGCCTGTAGATCAGCAGAGAAGTTTGGTTTTCAGCAGCTGTTGTCCCCGAGACCCCCAGGACCATGTGTGTTCAGGACTTCCTTGGGGTGGGGAGGTGAATAAAGTTCTCCCTCTGTTTCTCCCCTGCCCTCAGTCATCACCTGACTTCCTGTGCAATAGTGTAGTACCGCCCTGCCTCGATTATGTTTGCTGCTGCAGATAAGGTCTGCTTCCAGGGGAAATTGTTTTAAGTGAAACAGACCCGACAGTGCTCTGTGCCTCACTGAGGCGCACTGCCCCGCCTGGTCACCACTAGCTCCCCGAGGAACTGCTCAACGTTCTTAGCCAGAAACGAACGCACCATGCCAGGCCTGGATGGGGCCAGCACCCTCTGGGCTCATATGGCAGCCAGTTCTAAGATGCCAGTGTGATACCAGGCTTCATAGGATACCCCAGAACGACACTGCCACAGGGCAGAGTTGACACATTTCTTCACTGGTATAAAGAGTCCTAAATTCTGAGAGGGGCTGATTTTCTGGTGGTACAAGGGGATATTCCTTACTGCAGAACAGAGACATTATGAGTTTCCGGGGACTCATCCAGTCCCACCTTTGGGTTTTTGATGCTTGTGGCTTGCAAGTATTCGGAACAAGCAAACAAACAATCCTCTTCCCAATATCTAGTCTGATGGCTGCCTTGGAACTGGGCTGGGCTTGATCTGCACATGGGGTGGGTGTGCAAAGCTGGCGTGAGGCTCTCCCCTTTCCACTCCCCTGTGGCTGGTGCCTGGCCAGGCACCCTCTACCGAATTAGGGCTGCTCCAACTTACACTTGCTCCAAATGGCCCCAAGGGTCTGGAACTACAGCCAGTGATCCCCATGACACATGGGCCTAGGTCAGACTCCTTCCCTCCAGAGCGGGAAGTGGCCAGAAGCTCCGTCTTACAATGGAGTGACCTTCTTGGGCTGGCTAAAGCAGCTTTAGAGCATCAGCAATGCAGCACGGAGCAGCCAGATCAGCCAAAGAGCCCGGCCCTAAACCTCTTTGTTCTGTATTCCTGTTCAGTGCCTTGTACGTCAGTGTCCTGTCCTGTCCTGTCATCCCCACTGCTTGTGGGCTCTGTCTGCAGTGCTCCGGAGCAGCACCCTTACAGTGACGAGCTGCCATTCAGAGAACGACCCCCCCCATGCTTCCCAGCACATCTTCATCTACCTGGAGATCCGAACGCCCTTTTCCGCTGAGTCGCCAGCGCTGTCCCCAGCAGAAACGCTCTTTGCCCTGGCTCAGCACCATTCAGACATGCACAGCTGCCAGCCTATCACAGGCAACAAACATCCTTCGCTCCCTTTTCCTCTGTTTCCAGTCTGCAAACTATTAGTCAAGGTGAATGCATGAGAGGAGAAGTCCAACTGCGCATTCCTGCCCCTGGGACTCTCATAAGAATCATTTACGTTATTTCTTGCAAAGGCAAAGATCCCTGCAGGAAACCCATGAGAGAGCAAAACAGATGGGGGCAGGTTTGCCAGATCATGGAACGAGCGGTGGTCCCGAGACCGGTGGAATTGCTCAGAGGATGAGCCCTCTGCACTATTCCACTCTGGCTTCCCCTCAACCCACCCCATTTTCACTGTCTCCTCTGGCAGCCAACGACTCCCTGCCCAAACTGCCTCCGGGTTGGTTCGCCACAATGGATCCTGGCTCTACAGGGAAACATTGACGATATTACCATCCTTAACCGCCACAAACATTTCCCTGAAGGCAGTGGGGGAACAAAAATCTGCCCTTCTCCCAGCCACAGCCCCTTAGCCAGCTGTGCCCCCCTCCACACCACGAGAACTGAATTACAGAGAAGGGCTTTTCGGGGTTTGGGGAACTATTCCGATACAGGATTAGTTCCCCTCCCTCTGTCAGACTTGGGGCTGTTTTCCTGACGCTTCCTCTGGCCCAGTGTTTAACAAAGATGCTCAGTTTTACTTTCCTGCCTGAATGGACATTACCCAACAAGTGTGCTGCTTTCTCACTGCTTCTGTTCAAAGTCATCTCAAAGGCTTTCCCTTCATTTCAGACTCTGCCTCTGGGCCCTTTGGGTCCCTGCTAACAGCACAGTTACTGTGAGACACAGAGCAGGACAGGGTTTCCACTGGCTTGCTACTGAAAATATCTCCTTTCTTGGCTAACTACCAGTCCAGGATTCCACCGGGGAACTGCCCCGACCGAGGTCAACCCAGTGAACTTAGTGGACTCTGATTCACTAACCCTGAACTGTGAATCATCTCTGGTTGTTATTTGTACGTATCCACAGGCTGGATTTGATCCAGTGCTTACTTTTCCTAGTTCTTCTGCTAACCATATGCGTGGTCCCTGTCAACCCGGGGCTCCCTAAATTTGGGAGGGAGGGGCGGAGATGCATCAGACAGCATTGCCGTAAAACTGATTTGTACCCAGAAACAGGCATGTTTTAAACTAATGGCTTTAACCTGTTCACTGTAAAAAGTGCCTTGGACTTAAATCTGAAGAGGTCAGTATCTATAAATATTTACTATGCGGGTGTGTAAGTAGGTAGATACCTACGTATATACATACACACACTCACAAATATACAATCTATACGTACATATATAAAGGCTTCAGAACCCTCTGTCATATTGGTCTTTGGAGCTCTGTTCTTTCCTTCTGATCTTAAATATATTTGCTCAGAAAAAGGCCTTTTATTACCAAGGCCAAACTGCCCAGCAGTGTACATTGTTATGATTCTCTCTCTCTTTTTAAATAACTTTTTATGAACAAGTTGGAGGTTTTTTCTCTTGTGTTTTGAAAGAGCCAATGCTAGGTCTGGTGGCTTTGAATTCCATCACCCCACACCTCCGCCCAGCAGTGGGAGAGCACCAGGACGTGTGGAAGAAGCAGGCTCCACTTCTCCGGGCTGCCCTGCTGCGGCATTCTGAAGATGGGTCTTTTGGAAGTGAGTCATGTGGAGACATTTCATTAGGTTGCTTTATTACTTCCTGCAGAATATTTATTAAAGAGGCCTCCAAAATGCTGACTAGACCTTCCCAGGAAAGTGACAGCCCCCATACTACCTGACTCGGTGCTCACAGTCCTGTTACCGCAGTGGATCTGGGTACCTCTGAGACGTTCATGAGTACCCTGTGAGAGAGATCATTTTGCATTGCTCCTGAGCTGAGGTATAGACAGATTCAGTGATTCACACAGGGAGTTTGTGGCAGAACTTGAGCCTAGATCCTGTGAGTCCCGATGTCTTAACGGCAAGGCCATCCTTGTCTTCGTCACTCTAGTGCTTCCCGCCGGTAGAGCCACAACGAATATGGCACTTTGCCTGTGGCCGTTCTGTCTCCAGAATGCAAGTGGCATTAACCAGCTGTCCAATCCTCCTCTTGAGTCACAGCGATTAACCCATTTGCAGAGCACAGACAATAGTAGCCATTAATCTGCCATCAGTGAGCAATGCAACTCACACCAGAGACAAGCCTCCAACTTCCCGAGCAAGTCTCCTGGAGCAGAAGCAGCAGCTTCCCCAGTTTAAGCCAGCAGAGTCCATTTGGACACTTCACTGCAGACTTTCCTCCCCAGGGAAGGGGCTTCCCCAAGCCTGGCCCTAATCTGACTGAAGCCTGTATCTTTTCTGAATGAGAGTCTGAGCAGGAGATGGCAAACACAGAACAAAGAGGCAGAAGAAGCAGCGCCAGGCTGCCCCAGAATCTGAACTAGAAAGATTCTTCTCCCTGCCTTCCACAGGCCGAGAGCACTGGAGCTTTTTAACTCTTATTACAAACTGATACAGACAAAACCAAAGATGCTTGATGCTTCAACTCAGAGCCCGCCTACCACTGCGGTGGTACTTCATACAGTCTCTCCTGTTAGGAATGAAACCAGGATCACATCACCCCACAAAAATGTTATCTTTTGAAGGGGCTGCTACCTTCCAGTGCTCCCTTAGGAATCTGTTTTGGGACTCAACAATTACATCCTTGTTTAAGGGACGAAGGGATAGGCCATGGTAACTTGTGAATGTTAAACAATGTTCCTCTGGTGCCCTGGCAAGGTACTCTGCACCTGAAAACACAACGGTGTAGCTCAGAGCAGAGCAGGCTTAGCTGCTGGGCTGAGCCTTCCCGACCAGTTATGCCAGCGTAGCTACGGTGCTGTAGTCCCCGCACTGCAGATGTGGCCCAGGTCATGAAGAGCAAAGGGAAAGTACTTGTTATGAATAAAGCGAAGCCCTCAACCTGTAATGGGAGGAAATGCAGACAGGTCTCTCCTACTCCATGTGTACATTCAAATACAAACAGGACAATCAAGGAGCCTAATTCTCACCCACTTACACCAGAGCAAGGGAGAACAGGATCAGGCTTGGTATGTTTTGCACTGTTAAGCAAATAGCCAGAGCCCTTCCTTACACACACAGAAACTGGGGTGAAAGGCTTTGAAACCAGATAGAGTCCAGATGGCACCAAAGTGACTCTGTGAAGAGAATGAACTGATAAAGAGAAGCAGGACACAGAGCCCTCCCAACCTGGCATGGGATACCAGAGCCAATGTCCAGCAAATGGCATAAAGGGCTTGTCCAAAACCTGCTGAAGTCAATGGGAATCTTTCCACTGACTCAGGAGCAGTGCCCAAGGGATCAAATGATCCAGCAGCAGCCCTAGTCACTCAGGGCAAAGCAGCGGCCAGGTGACCAAATTCTCATACCCACACACACAAATTCTCCAATCCACCTAGACACATGCAGTCGTGGTGGGAATCTCTCATGCAGTAACCCAGATATCGATACTTTGAGGAAGCCTGGGACATTCAAGGTCCTCCGCTGACACATTTATCATTTCAAAACTATGCCCTGGAGGGTTTTGAGAACTCCACAGTTAATACCTGTCAAATGTGAAAATACCCGCAACAAGCTCTGCAGCACTTCCTTAGAAGATTAAAACCGTGTAACTTTGTTTCCTGTATTACAGGGGATTAAAGAGGCAGTGCCCTGATGTGTTAATTCTGCTGTATTTTCCCACACCACTAGAAATTACACACTGAGATTAGGCAAAATATGCTTAATCTTTCTTTTCAGCAGGAAATCTGTATTTATTAATGGTTCTGGATCAAGGACTCTCCAAGGGGAAAGAGAATAATGCCTGAAACCTAGATCTTCGTTCTCTCGGCAACGATTCACCCACCGGCTTTCTGAACCTGGAAACAGGGACTCTGTTGTTGTTTCAGCCTGGGACCAGACTGCTGGCATGTAAAATTAAAAAGGTGGTAGAGGAGTTTTTAAACTAAGGGCTGGGGAAAGCTGACCAGTGCGGAGGAGCACACAGTTCGGACAGAGCCATCCTATACAAGAGGATTTCTGAAAGGGGATACTCTATATCCTAGTAAGGAGGAGAGGACAGAAGTTGATAAAGTACAGGTAGGAATTGAAGAGAACCAGTAAACAAAAAAAGAACCCCATTCAATTACATCACATGAAGGCAGACAACTAAATATGGACAAACATTATAAGTGACTGTCTATAACTGCTAAAAATCTAAATACCAAGATGGGTGAACTTGAGTTCCTGGTATTAAATGAGGATATTGATACAAAAGGCATCACAGAAACATGCTGGAACAATAACATTCGATGGGACACGGTATTACCAGGGCACAAAATAGGAATGACGGAATAGGTCGTGCTGGTGGGGGAGTGACGCTGTATGGGAAAGAAAGCATAGAGTCAAATATAACAACAATCTTAAATGAGCCAAACTGTACCATTGAATCTCTATGGATAGAAATTCCCTGCACGTACAGGTTAAACTGGAAAGTTTTGTTGGTTGTATACAGTCCAGGGGTTGTGCATTAACCACCCCAATGTATCATTTCTCCAGTCAGGTCCTGATTCCATTTAAGCGGATTTACTCTTTTCCCCAAGACATACGTATTATTCTCAGTAATGCTAATGGAAGTTATGCATGTACACCAAGAAGACGGCAGGCTGCTAGTAAGGGTGTGTCATCTCCCAGCACAGTTACCAGAATAAAGAAAAGCTGTATCCAGTTTAGACTAGTGGCCTGGCACTTGTGAAGAAAGCAGCATTTCTCAGCAGGATATGCTGTGAAATGTGCCAGTAAATTACATTTTTTCTAACTAAATGGTTATTTCTGAACTTCCTGCTGCTAGCAGCTACTCAGCTAAGACCATTCTATCAGTTGTGGCCAGGCCAGCATGGCAGCTCCGTTGCACAAACTGCAAACACATCACCATCCTCCTGAGACGCTAGTTCAAAAAGAATCTAAATAGAAACCGTAGGGCTTGGCGCTCTGTTGCCTGGCACCTGAGCCGCCATTTGCACGAGTGCAAAGTGGGGTTGGCCACCACCTTCCAGATGTAGCTGTTTTACTCTCACTTTACACAGCTGAGAACAACAGAGAATCAGAACCATCAAGGAACACTGCATGTAGCCAGAGATGCCACACCAGGGTGGTGTATAAAATGCAACGCTCTCTATAAAAGTACATTAGCCTAGTGTTAAGAATAAAAGTAATACCATATGTGAACAAAATACAGGAGAACACTGTGTATGGATGCACTCAAAACAAACACCAAAGCAAGGTTTCACATCATCCCAGCCATTGAGAAATGCAGATGAGGTTGATAAATATGTTCCTCCAGTTGGATTTTTGCAAAGATCTGTACTTTTCTTAACAGCGCTGTTCTAAGAGGCCCCCCACAAAGCATAAGAAAATGACGAGCCCCAAGGGAAAGAACAAAAGCTTTGTTCATGCTAAAGATATTCTCCAACTCAGAATCTAATTCAGTCAGCGTACTCCCATCTCACACTTTGTGAGCAGATGGCTTGCTGCTCCCTGCACCAAAGAACTGCCCTGCAAAGACAGGAGACTCCAACTCAGCACCAAGCTGGGCCAGATCAGCCTATCACACAGGCCGTTTATTCCAGGCTGCAAGGAGAGCTGAGTGTGTCTCAACCAGCGGTTTCTGCCTAACTGCGGTGCCAGGATCGCCCACCTGGTAAGTGCTCCCTGTTCTCCCATATGACGGTAGGTCACTGTAACATCGGGGGCTTTCTAGTACCGGCAACTTTAAACTGCTGGGACAGATGAACCCCCTCAAGCTTTGATGGGTTGGCTCCAAACTGCTCCTGGGTTTGGGTTTTGCAAAATCAAAGCCCATCTGAAGACATCTTTCAAAACGAAAGCGCCCCCCCTTCCCCTAATTTTCATTCTCTTTCAGATTCACACTGATCAGTCCTTTCGACAACTCTTGTCTCACTTCTAATTCTATATTAATTATAAAAACCCTCCTTATAAAACATCTCTTTGTTGTTACAGCTCTTGGTATGGCAGGATAGGATGGCAAGCCGGAGACCTTCCATGTAACAATACAATGCTTCAGGGAAGCTAAATGCAACCTCATAAAACTGTACCCACTGCAACAACTTTCCTTTTCAAAACTCCCAGCACTCACCTCTCCTGTGAGCTATTCCTCTGGCTAGATATGGCCTCATTCCTGGAGTACCTGAGTACCTCACAGTCTTGAAAGCCCGAGGCTAGTATCCTGAACACTCCACCACCAGCAGAGTGATCATGTGAGCAAAGGTTTATTAATCAGTCCGCAAGGGCAGGATATAAAGTATTAACGCCTGTCTCACTATGGCGGAGATGCTGTTCTTGTGCTAAGGTCTCCTTTCCAGGACACAGAGAGAGAAAGTGTGTCTGTCTATCTGTCACTTTTGGGGTTACCCGAGGCGTTCGGGGAGAATTACTACCCCCTACTCACAGCAGGAGGGAGCTGCACCAACTCGCTGCCTCCGGGGAAGCAGGGCACCCAGGTCATGGGTTTCCCCCCAGTTCGACGCTCTCCTTAGCACGAGGCACTTTGGCAGGTTTAGAGTAAAACCAACCTGGCGTTGGTTGAACAGAGCTCGAGGGAGAGATTCCAACATAAGCCAGCCTAAGGATCTGGAAACGTTAAGGCTACAGGTAAAAGGAACGTAAGACGCAGTTTATAGCCTGGACTTAGTAACCAGTGACTTTCCTGGCTCATTCGGTATTTCTCGCCCAAATAAGTTCTAAACGGTGCTTGTCCAGTCTAGCAAGCTGGGATTCACCACTGATGAGACAACCCCCCTGGCAGAGTGATTCCCCTTGTCCTCTTTCTTCTTCTCTTATACAGTTATAGACTCTTGTCCCAGGACCCAGGGCTCCCCATTCAGAGACTTTTATTGGGGTTCTTTTGTCTTGGCACATACCAAAACCTGCATCTGGCCAAGAGAGTAAACACCAAATAGCTCAGTCGATGCTATCCACGGTTCTCATGTAGATTGGATCAGTTTTCAGGCTCCCCCTCCTTAGGTGCTCGGTTTACACCGAACCGATTTGGAATACCATATCCTGCACATTACACAGCTCTAAAACTGCTTCCCGTACAAACCCCTCTCAATAACTAAGACAATCAGCCAGTTCTTAGCTTTTGGCAGAAACCCCACACAACCCCCTTGGTGAAATATTAAGAAGATGGTTGGACACAGAGGTAATCTACCTGCCAGAGCACAGCTGTGTCACAGCACCTTACTGTAACTGGGAAATCCTTCGTAAAGAAGTGCAGCGGGACTAAGGTAGGCAGGCCCCATTCGCTGCGCCGGGGAGTCAGGGATTTTTAGGCACTGCCATGACTAATGCAGTTATTTTCGGATCCCCCACCTTGCAGGCGATGGAATGGGTGCATGATGCATCTCTGCACCCACCAAGAACAGAGACACTCCTCCCACTACTGAAGAGAAATAGAAGATCACATTGGATATTGCTGAGGGTGGGGGATGAGCAGAAAGCTCTCCATGGACTGCAGTGGAAGCAGAAGTAACCTCCTGACTTCAGTGAACCTGGTCGCATACACGCATTGGCCCCCCTGACACCGAATGATTACTGGCAGACAGTAAGGTAACAGCCACAGGCACAGTAAGGCAAATGAATCGGCTTGTGCTGATTACAGTTACACGGGAGTAAATTGGAGTGATTCAGCTGGAGTCTCTCCAGATTTACATCAGCATTGACCAGAGCAGAGCATGGCCCTTGGATTTAAAAGAAATCACGTTTTTCTGTCCTTCACTAAGCTCCTTTCAACATGTCCATCCCTCTCCTCCTTCGGAGCTGCCTCTCCTCTTGTGCTCTGCTCCAGAGCAGGGGCTCTCTGCTTTCTCCAGCCTGCCACCACAAGCTACAGCAGACAAAAGTTTCAGGACCCCTCTGAGCAAAAAAACTGGAGGGCTGGATGGGGAGAGGAGCATGTAGAGAAAATTGCGATTCAGATGCAAGTCCCATGGGATCTGCCCAGTTCCCAGAGTCATAAGGCTACGTCTACACTCAAATCGCGACAGCAGCGCTGCTGTAGCACTTCAGTGCAGACACTCCCTATCCCACCAGGAGGGCCTGTCCCGCCAGCGTGGGTAATCCATCTCCCCAGGAGACGGCAGCTAGGCTGCCAGAAGAATTCTTCCATCGACCTAGTGCTGGCTGCACCCGGGGTTAGGTCGGTGTAGTTCTCTCTCTCACACCTCAATAGACGGGCCTCTACCAATGTACGTTCATAGTGTTGACCAAGCCTGAGAGAGAGAGGTCCTTTGGAGAGGGGGATAAAAGGAATCTGCTGTGGGCGCCTGGGTCAACCTCTTGCAGGAAACAGACCAGACCAGATAGACAGAATGGTGGAGAACAACAAGCAGCCGGCGGCAAAATGACCCCTCCTCCTGTGTCGGAACAAGCCCACTTCCACACTTGCAGCACCCTCACTCCTGCAACGTTCCACCTGCCAGCTCTGACCCCTGCCTCCCCGAGACACACACCAAGCCACCCCAAAGCCGTTGGAGGACGCGGCTTGCTCTGAAGCTGGCACTGGATGTTGGTCAGGAGCAACAGGCTTTATACTCATTAAAGAGAAATCAATTAGGCTGCTAGAAATTCAGCCACCTGGTGCCTCTATTTTTTCTTCTCCTTCTCTTTTCCCTCAATGTGCCACTGCTGCCCCAGGGAAGTCATGAAAGAAACAATACATATTTTTCTCTCTCTCTATCTCTCTCCCTCAGATTAAAAAATGCTGTATGCAAAGAAATCAGCTCCGGCCATCCAATTACAGTACTGTACATAGTCTCTGAGGTTTGCAAACAGCTATCTTTCTATCCGTTTATCATCTCTATCTCCATCCCTGCCTCTCCATCTGCACAGATCACTGTCTGATCCACGTCTCGGCTCCTCCTGTTGGCTTTATCATTATAAAATGATAATCTGTAGTGAATAAGGGAGTCCTGAGCAAGGTGTAATAGGCTCCCAGGGGATGCAGAAATTACTCCTTTATGTGGGGATGCCCTTTCAGAGGCCCAGATGCACTAGTGTTTCACTTGCTAGACAAACGCATTATACCGTCTCTTGGCTCTCCAGAGCTACATAAACATGAACAAGTGAAGAGCCGAGGGCCACCTATCTCCTGGCCTTTCAAGGAGGTTCCTGAAGTTTCTTGAGGAATATGATGGGGCAGGTGGGGGGAATCCACTCAGCTGAGCTTCAAGATGATACCAGGCAAATACTGTGGCTAGTCTGGGTAAATTCAGAGCTGGGTGTCTTCCCTGCTGGGCTGAAGCAGATTTAAATGAGGATGGTGCTGGGCCCCTGGCAGATAGCTCAGAACAGGAGGGAAGAGCAGTGAGCTGCATTCCCCCAGGGTAGCAGCACTGCAATCAAAGAGGCACACCCCTGAGGATGAGTCTCCGGCCAGTGGCATAGCTATCTGTAAGCAAAGGTCAGACAGATCCTGCCCCAAAGAGCTGACAGTCCAGAAGGTGCACAGATAAGACAGGTCACATCAGGAATCTGGAAGGAAGGAGTTTTGTTTTGGTTTGTTATTATCTCACTTCCTTGTAGGCATGACAGCAGACATGTATCCTTAGCTCAGCAGCCTGGGCAGGTGTCCAAACCATAAAGAGTAGCCTGGAGAAGGGAGCTGTGGGGTGCCGCTGGCAAAGCAGAGAAGGTCACGCTGAGAAAGATTCAGGTTTGGTCAGAAGCACCCTCACTCCAGGGCTCACTTTAAACTCCTCCCTTTCAGTCTCTCTGAATGCAGAGTACGCTCTTCCTCCGACAGATCGTCCTGCACACGGCAGGAGGGGAGCCTGAGAGAACGGTTATGGCTCAAGACTAAATGCAGGATGGAATATTAATGCAGCATACGCTGACACACACTGGAAAGCTGAATGAAGTCTGGGATTAGGGAGGGTCATTAGTGTAACTGATTCACCTTCCGGGAACTGTTGTGTCAGGTACGGTAATCCGGAGGGGCGACACTGACCCACTTTTCACCCCCAATAACCAGTGCTGCCAGAGAAACAGCGTGGCCACCCTTCCTGCAGAACAATGACACCTCCCCAGGGAGCCCCACTCAACCTCCTATCCGATGCACACGCACCCAGGCCATTGCCCAGTGGGCCTGGATATTACAAGGAGGAGTCTGTGATGCTGGCAGACCTGGTGCCAGCCATGCCAAGCTCCCCATGTCTCCACTGAACACTGACAAATACACAGTCTGGCTCACCTCTGTGTTAGCAGTGTTAAAACAGGCATTAGAATGATAAGAATGTGTTTCGTGTTTAGACTTTATTGAACACTTGTGAGCTGCTGTCTGCATTAATCTCACAACATCTGTATCCCACACTGCACAGTAAGATTTGAACATCTGTATCATAAGCCTTTGCAACTGTGTAAATCACCAGACAGGAGAGAAACATTAACCAGCGTGAAATGCTAGCCTCCAATGGGTCTCATTGTCCTGCCCGACCAAGAAGGCCCCTCAATGCCAGACGGACCAGAGTGGAACATTAAAAGGGACCAAAGTCTGTTGTTTACCTTTCCTCTTCCCCTTGCAAGTGAATTCCTCCATCAGCTGAGTTTGCAACTGGAAGCAGAAAGGGGGAAAGGGAAAAAAAGCCCCTAACAAGGAGGAACTGCATCTTTATGTGCTTGGACTCCGGGGGTGTAAGGATTATTAGACATAAGCAACAGCTCTCCCAAGCTTAGCCTGGACTAGCCCTAAAGGAAAACAGAGCTTGCTTATTATAGAAGCTTTTAGTACCTTTTGAAGCTTAACATTGGAACTCATTCTCTATGTTTACCTACTTTAACCTCATAAAGAACTCTCGTTTCCTTTTCTTGTATAACAAATCGTTCCATAGTTTATTATAGGATTGGCTGCAAGTGTTGTCTTTGGTGTGAGCTCTAAAGTGCAACCGACCTAGGTCAGGTGACTGGTCTTTGGGGCCTGGGAGCAACTTGAACATTGTTGTGATACTTGGTATAAGGGACCATCTCTCACAAAGGTAGGTGGCGTGACAGAGCAGAGGACCCGAGGGGACGGCCAGTGACTCCATATTTAGGCTGTTATGGTGCCTGGAAAGTTTACGCTTGATAATTTGTTGGTGAAATCTAAGTATAGAACTCCCAGGCAATCTGGGGTTTGTGCCCTGGCTCTTAGCAGTTTGCCCTGAGCTTGGTACTTATGCTCTTGAGCGACAGCCTGACAGAGCTCAACTGGGACAGAATGTTCTGGAACAGCATGAAAGCTTCTTTCCTTTGCCGTGGAAAGCAGCAGCACTAAATAGTGTGGTATGCAGCTGGCCCAAATGAGCAGAAGTCTTCTTAGCCATTGGGACACCAAGACAGTACAGCTACTGCCATCGCAGAGCCTCCATGTTATCCCCAAATGAGACCCGGGCCGGCCACGGGCCAGGAGCCCACGGCCCATAGGCAGCAGGTGGCTAGGGCTAGAGGGGGCTCAGCCTCCCCCGTCTGTTTTCTGAGCCACCCTGCTGCCCACGTGGATGCCCAGTTCAGCAGGTAATGCCCATATCTGCCAGGGCCAGGGAGGGCATGGGGTGTAGCGGGGGGAGGGCCCCACCTGTACGCTGGATTCCTGGTGGGTAGAATCCCGGTAGGGGCCTGAGCTGCACTTCCCAGGAAGGTTTGGTGGGACAGGATGAAAGTCCCAGGGAAAGCAGGGAGATCCTCAGGTGATTGTGCAGGGGAAAGGAATCCCAGGGGAGGCAGGAGACTCCTTGCCCTCCCCCAGGGGCAGGTGAGGTCCTCCCCCAGGGGCAGGGCCTCACCTGCACACAGACATACATGCCAAATGCCACTGTGGCAGGCGCCTCCAAATCTGAGTGGCAGGAGGCCAGAGCAGGGAGCAGGACCCAGGCCCACAGGCCAGGAGCGGACGATGTGGGGTGACAAATATTTTCACCAGCAGCCTATGCTGAGGCCCACACCTGACTTCCATAAAAATGGGGCACCCTCCTCTTCAAAATCGAAGGGCAGCCCAGCATGACTACAGTCCCCCTCGCATAGTGCGGCCTGGGATCGTGGTTCACGATAGCACACTGCGGGTTAGGACATGCCAACTACTTACTACAACGACTGGCATCCTATAAATGCTACAGACTAAATTCAATTAGGCATCCCTGCGTTTCTGGGTTCCAGATAAGGACAGCCCTGGCCTGCCCTGCAGAACACCCCAAGCTGAATCTGGCTATGCCCGCAGCTTAGCCGGTGTTATACGTCAAGGGATGGTCAGCCAGGGATACTGCCTGAGAATCAAAATGTTCCGATGCCTCTTTGTACTAAGACGTACTGCCTTGTGGAACAGCCCTAAGGATGCTAACACCTTCCACTGCTATAGCTGATGGGGGAGCTCCTGGATTTCAGCTCCTGAAATTGATCCCCCTGCAGCATCCGCACCTGTTTTGCAATGGCGCAACTTTAATAGACTAAAGGCAAGCTGTGCAAATGTGAGAATGTCGTCACGCTGTCGGACCAGGCAAGTGTGTAACCAACAGCTGGACAGACGTGGTTGCTCTCCCCGGAGCCTGGCTTCCCTCCCTCCCCACACCCAGAGCTAGCAAGATGCGTAATTCTTGCTGACATTTCCCTGGAGAACAGCCACGGCAGCTGCCTCAGTTTTATCAAAGCTCAGGTTCAATCATTCATTCAACAGCAAGAAATCCTGAAAGGAACAGCGTGTGCAATGCCCCAGATAATACAGCTCATTTCTGGGACCCACCAGAAAGCTTGGAAACCCACCCCGCTCTAGACATTAGCAACGGACAAGGAGGTGGAAGTGAGCTGCCTTCCCGCCACATTTTAGGAATGAAAACCCTCTCCCCTCCGGTGCGGAGACAGCAGTTCTGACAAAGCAGCAGAAACCCTCGTGACAGACCCAGGGAGACGCAGCCTTCTTCATGCACAGGACAAGCAGACCAGGTGGTACATTGCCATGTGCAACCTACCTCCTAGTGCACGTGCACAAGTCAGTTTACACGTTGTTTGGTTAATGGTCCATACCAGCTCATTCACCTATCATTTCACTAGTGTCTTGTGCTAATGTAATGGACTTGTACCAGTGACACTTTGCTTGGCAGGATTGTTAATCGTCCCATGCTCATGTTGGAACAAAGGTACCGTCTTTAACACACCCTGATGGATGTCTGTTCACTCACACACTGTGATATTGTCACAAGGCTTTTAGCAACAACAACAAATATTGAAAAAAATGTAAAGGGGAACTGAAGGCACATGGGATGTGGAGACTTTCCAGTCTAGGTCACTGGTTTGCATGGACCCCAAGTGAAGCCAGTGCTACCCATTGTGGGGGCTATGTGAAATGAAGGAGTGTCATCAGTCTAGTTTTTAGCGCTATGTGACAAAACCCCCTTACTTCTCGCTGGGAGCCTCTGCCAGGAGGCCAGAACTGATCCTATCTTGAGCTGATCCACCCGGTGCAAAGACAGTGCATGGGCGTGGGAGAAGTTTGTACCTGTTCCATGGGTAACGAGGAGACTCCAGGGCTATTAATCCAGCACCACCCACTCCAGAAATCCATTCATCTTAAATAAAAACATAGGCTGTTGGGTTCGGGGAGCAAAA